ATTATTTGATTTTTGAGCAAATCCTACGATAGAAAAATATGAAAAATCCATCTGGAAGTGCTTGTTTAAAGCATCTAAGAGATTTTATGATATAGTTGTTCGTAAAAAAATTTTTGATTTGTTGTTTCTAACACATTTTATCTTAAAAGAAAGGAGAAAGAAAGTGTGTGTATATGTGAAAGTGTGTTCTTTAGAGATTTTTCGTTTCTCATTTGTATTATAGTTGAGTAAAAATTTTGTTTCAAACATTTGCAATAATAAAGTTTTTCATTTAAATAATTATTGTTTTGTATATATTCATGTACATTTCATTCTTTATTTGCTCATTGGGAGATTTCGTGATGGATTTTAAGAAATAAGACTAAGTTGAGATTCCCAATCTCTTGCATGAAATTTATAAGTATTTGTTTAACTTTCTAAAATCTTTGCATGTTTAACTTTCTAAAATCTTTGCATGCACTAAATTTGTGGTCCAGACTATTCAATGAGAGCGCTCAAAATCAAAAGAGATCGCTCAAACTTGTTAGTTTGTCTTAAAAGACCAACCACAATACTTTGTTTCTTTTATTTTTGCTATTCATATGTTGTCTAATTCTATCAAGCCTTCAGAATCAGTCACCTTGATTGATACACTTTAAAGTGAGGCAATTTTTATTTTGGAAAGACGCAATGTGTCTAACCAGATTCAATCTACATCTAGTTGAAAGTAAAAATGGTCATTACTCTTATTTGTTTTGAGAATTTGGAATGATACTTTATGCGTTTGTTTATCTATCTATACAGATTTTATCATTTATTTACCCATATCAAAATTACAATTTCGTTTTAAATAAGAGCTTTAATGATCACAACCCTATAATTGGAAAAATTTTCAAATGTCCAAAAGGAATAGATTCTCCTAATGAGTTATACTTTACTTTGGTTGTCATGTAATGTGAGAATGATATTTTGGCCATCTTTTCTATTATCTAAACACTGTTTATCCTTTGCATCCTCATTTAAACTTAAATTGGTAGTTCATTTTAAAAGTACTTATGATCTCACCCCACATAGGGAAAGGAGATTTGAGAATTTTCAATAATAACAAAGATGCTAAATTTTTTTGGAAGAGACATGAAGTATTAAAAAGAAAGAAACAGAGAAAAGCGCATCTATCTCCTAAAAGTTAGGGGGCTTTTTATTCTATCATTAATATCTAACCTTTAGCATTGGCAAAAAAAAAAAAACAAAGAAAAAAACAAAGAAAAAGCAAAAAGCAAAAAGCAAAAAAAAAAAGAAGAAAAGATAAAAAAGAAAGTGTTGGGAAAAAGAAAAGAAAAAAAAAAGAGAAAATATCAAAATCCCTCCAATGATTGATGATAAAAGTCGAAATGGAGTACAAGATCTTTGAACCCAAAACTGGGGCAATTTTGGAAGGAATGCGATCTTAAGTGCAGCATCATTGAAAATTTATTTCTTTTAACTATAGTTTTCAAACCACATTACAAGTTCATAAAGTCCATTGCTAACTTATCTTTCATGACAATTTGAAATAAGGATCACGTCTCTAAAAGATCTACCAATCACTCATGATCATAAGGTCATAACCGGTTTCCATATATTTAGTTTTCTCTTCTACCCATATATTACAAGGTTAGAGAGTTTATATGTTGACTGAGTTTTTATAAGAAATAAGGGTGAAAAACTATTTGCTTTCACCACAATGTGATATTGGATGGATTAGATGCAATCTAGGTACAAAAGTAAGACAGATCTTGACATACTATCTTTAAATATCATTTCTTTTAGCTACCCGAAAATTAGGAATAATACCCACTTGATTGGTCCTGAAAGATGAGCTAACGAGAAAGGGTGATCTTTTTCCCTAAACGTTGATCCTAAGTGAGAAAGGAATCTATTGCAATTTGGTCCTGTTCTAAGAGGTTCATCATAGAGTCTTCTATATGAGTTTAGGCATGACATTTTTCTTAACTTAGTTTCTTTTTCATTTGAAGAATATAATTTCTATTTTACACCAATGCACATTGCATGTTAACATGTGATTATTTTCTAAATTTTAGGAAGTATTGTTTTCTTGTTTTTGTCAAATAAATAGAAGGTCATCCAAATAAAAATTTTTGCAATTAAAAGACCCAAATTAGGGCAAATTTTTGTAATACATTTGTGGGATTTCGCCAAAGAGTCAAGTATACCTTAGAATCTATTGTTCAAAATTTGACTTCAATAAGACCGCTCCTTTCATGAGTAGTAATTGCATTATTTTTCGAAATAAAGTAAGAAATTTTCTGTGAAAATTCAAGTGCAAGTCATGTTTTGGTAAATTCCATCTGTGCAGGTGTTTATGGTTGAAATCGAGAAAGAAATAGAGGTCAAAATCTTGCAAATTTTAAGGTCAATCACAAATAAAAAGGGGCAATAATACTACATCGCAAAGTGGAGGATTGGCTTATCCATTTAGAATGAGTACATACGTCAAAAAAAAGAGGGGGGAAAAGAGAAATCCAGTTAGAATTAAATTGGAGCAATTTTTTAGTTTTTATCAGCCCTACACTAGGGCAAATTTTGAAAAATGCATTTTCAAAATTATTTCAAACCTGTTATATGATCTGCTTTCCAGCAATAACCTTTCTTATTATGACCTTCATCTTTTGCAATATTTTGAGGAAAATTTTATTAATCAAATGACAAATAATGTAAACACACCTTTACCAATTTTGCAAAGCAAGGATTGTCTTACTAATACTATCAATCTTGAAATAAATTTCTGAATTGATAGATGCTGTCATTAAGATTGTTCATTAGGTGAAAACCCGAAAAGACGCCTTTTTAAAAAAATAAACAAAAAAAAGAGAAGAGAATATTTTGTAAACAACATTCTGGGCCGTGCATTTCATTTTCTTATAGCAATCTAGGTTTTGCATTTTATTCCAGCATTTTTTAAAATATTTCTAGTTCTTGTTTGTTCCTTCTAATTCAGTGGCATGGATGTTACAATTTTATTTTCTCAAGATTAGTAATTTACATTTTTATTTCCCCCACTAGTCATTTGGGTTTGGATCTGATCCCACTAGCAATATAGATTTGGGACGCATTTTCATTTTTATCGTTATTTATTTAGGTTCGAGTTTTATCCCACTAATATGTTATTTAGTTGGGATTGAATTTTATCCCACCAATCTGATATTTAATTGGGTTCAAATTTTATTTCACTAATCTATTATTTATTTGAGATCGAATTTTATTCCATCAATCTGTCATTTAATTAGATTCGAATTTTATCCTACCAATCTATTATTTTATTAGATTCGAATTTTATCCCACCAATCTGTTATTTATTTTGGTTCGAATTTATTCCACCCATCTGTTATTTAATTGGACTCGAGTTTTATCCTATCAATATGTTATTTAATTGGGATCGAATTTTATCTCACCAATCTCTTATTTAATTGTTTTCGGATTTTATCCCATCAATATGTTATTTATTTGGATTCAGATTTTATTCCACCAATCTGTTATTTAATTGAATTCGGATTTTATCCCACCAATCTATTATTTAATTGGATTTAAATTTTATCCCACCAATCTGTTATTTAATTGAGTTTGATTTTTATCCCACTTATCTGTTATTTAATTGGATTCGAATTTTATCCTACCAATCTATTAGTTGTCTAGGTTTGGGTTTAATCCCACTAACTATCTAGACCTGAAGTGCATTTTCATTTATCTCACTAGTTATTTGAATTTGGGTCTAATCCCACTAGCCATCTAGATTTGAGGTGTATTTTCATTTATTCCGTTAGTTGTCTGGGTTTGGGTTTCATTCCACCAGTTATTTAGACCTGACGTACATTTTCAAATTATTTCTCTAGTTGTCTGGGTTTGGATCTAATCCCACCAACTATCTAGGCCTGAGGTACATTTTCAGTACTTTTCCACTAGTTGTTTGGGTTTGAATTGGATCCCACCGATCAATCTAGTTTTAAAATAATTTTTCAGATTTTCACTAGTTGTTTGGGTTTGGGTTAGATCCCATCAATCAATCTAGTTTTAAAATGATTTTTCAAAATTTCGCTAATTGTTTGGATATGGGTTGGATTCCACCAATCAATTTAGCTTTTAAGATGACTTTTCACTTTTCCGCTAGTTGTTTGCGTTTTGATTTAATCCCACCGACGATTGGCATTTGAAAACATATTTCAATCTTCTTATTAGTTGTTTGGGTCTGAGTTTAATCCCATCAATGGATATCAACTCGCAATTTAATACATGTATTCTCTTATTATTTATTCTACTTATTTTCTTTTTGATTTTTTTGATTTTATTTTGTTTCCAGCACGAACTTCGTTCAACCTCGTATTTAGACTACGTCTGATGCGACAGGAGCCGTAAATAAATCCATGCATATTTTAATCTTGTTTAAAATATTTACTTTTGTTTGTTTTGATACAGTTATAGTCGAAGGAGACAGGCAAGTAATTTGGTGTCTATGTCTTTGTCCTGATTTTTTTCGAAACTTAGACAAAGAGTGGTAAGTTGTAGACACCAAATTTTTCTTAATTTCAAGTGTACCATTTTTCACTTAAATTGTTTGAATAATTATTTTAATTTTTATTTTATAGGTTTCTGCAAAAAAAAAAAAAGAAAATCAAAAGAAAAATGGATGCTCAAAATTGAAAATTTATTGTACAAAATTTTTTTTTGTTTTGTGTTTCAAACCCAATAGAAGAAAATCCAAACCTAACCACAAAGCCTACCAAAAAATCTACACAAAATTCAAACAAAACCCAACCAAAAACCGTAACTAGACTTTTTTCATTCTTTCTTTCTACCCAAGGTTTGGTTGGTACAAGGACAACTCATCATCCAAATTTTATCCTTTAACACCTGCCAAAAATGGATCAAAGGGAGGGAAATGAGACATATAATCCTAATTTATCCTAACAATCAATTCTAAATTTTAGAATTTTTTGTCCCATAAATTCTTAACCCTGAAACCTCTCTCGACTTCTGGGAATTTTTTCAAGACTGCAGACAACTCACTAAGAGAAAAGAAAAACTCTCTCGGCTCTCCCTTTATTCACACTCACACAACACAACACACCAACACAAACACACGCATCACTCAATTCTTTTTCTCTCCTGGCTCTCACGCACACCCATCTTCGGAGCAAAGAAAGGTGAAAGAAGGAAGTAAAGACAGCAAGCGAATAAATGGTTGAAACTTAAGGATTTCTCCAAAATTTTAACCAAGGAACTACAATTTTCATTGAGGTATTTTCTAACTTTTTAAAGCACATTAAGTGTATGTTTTGTTGCTTATTTTTCTCTTGCTCTTGCAGGTTTTGGTTGTTGTTGTGCTGTCTGGACATCGGGCAAATCATAGAACAAGATTAAGAAAAGAAAAATGGGTTTTGTGTATGCATGTTAAGTGTTTGAAAAAATGTCTAAATGAGTAAATTCAATGTACATATTTTGCTAAAATAGTTGGTTATAGCTAGAATAAGGCCTGAAAAATATTTTGTTCTTCTAAATTTTTGAGTTTTTAGCCTAGAAAGCAAGAAACAAGTTTTTTTTTTTTTAAAGTTGAGACTGCTTTGCTTTCATTCATCATTTTCCTTACTGTTTGTTGTTAAATTGAACATGCAGTAGCGTTGTAGATTTTGTAAGGGTTGTTTTGCTATATTTTGCATGAGCTTTAGTGAAGATTTGAGGGATTTTTAAAAAATAAAACTCTGCTGTAAATTGCTCTTTTGAGCACTTTTTGTTCATATTTTGTAAAAACTAAGGTCAGAAACGGATTCTACGCGAAAAATCGAGTGGGGGTTGTATTTTCGTGAAATTTTTCGATCGGAGAGGCCGGCCGCCGGTGGTTCGCCGCCGCTGCCGTCGGCTACTGAAACTTCAATACACCGGAGAGGAAGAAGAAGGAGAGGGAAGAATAAGAAGAAAAAGAGGGAAAGAAAAAAAAACATTGTGTTGGTTTCATTATTTCTGGTGGGCTTGTGTTTATTTATCGTTGGGCTTGTGGCTGGGTTTTAGAGTTAAATCCAAAGTTTCCATTCTTATTTAATTTGTCTAAATTTTCTTTGGGATTGTTTGTTTTTTGTGGATTAGCTTGCGTTTTTCGTTTAGACTAGAGTGGTGCGGCCCAACTGCTTTAAAATGGCCCAAAATGGTTTTGTATGTAATTAGAAATGAATTTTGTAATTTGACCCTTTATCTTTCGAGTAATTTCATTGTGACTCTAAAATTTTAGATTTCTTTTACTAGGTCCTTAATTTAATTGCATTTTGATCTCTAAACTTTATTTTTATTTAATTTTGACCCCTAATGTTTGAGAATTGTAATTTAACCTCAAAACTTTTTAATTTTTGCAATTTAGTCCCTATTCGTTCTTGATTTCTCAATTACAATTGCTTTTTTTCTTTAATTGTTAATTGTGTTTCATTAAAATACATTTAATTTATAATTTTGGTTTTTTTTTAATGTTTTTTTACATTTTTTCACAATAAAAGGGGAATATAGTATATGTTTAAATTTTTTTTGAAAATTGTCAATTAAATTGGTGCATTGACCTGTTTGTTAATTTTTGAAAAAGTGACAATTTCTATCCTTCCCACTTAGCCATTATTTCAAGGGAGGTACCCTCTATTATTCTTTAAACTCTTTTATGTGCTCCTATATTTTTTCATGTGTGATTGCATGTTTGTATGTGTTTTTTCTTTTATTTACTCATTTTATTCATTTTAAACCTTTATTTATTTTATTTAATTTGGATGTTTGTTTGAAAACTTTTAAATGTCAAATTGTAATAAGTAGGTTGTATCCTTTTGCCCAAGAAATATATTTATTTTTTTAACAAACGATAACATTTTATAAATATTAACACTTGATAGTACAAGAGCTAATTGCAAAAAGGGGCAACTACCCCCATATCTTTTCTAGCTAAACCAGATAGCCATGTTGGGAATGAACCTTCCCACTCAATATTTCTAATTGACTTGATTGCAAATTGAGCCATTGCATGGCTGCAACCATTAGCAGTTCTGGGTACAAAAGAGAAATTGCAACTGTCAAAGCTCTTCTTCAGGATATCAATGTCTTCCAGGATTGTTTGTAGTGTGCAATCCTGAACATTGTCCGTATTGATAAGGCTCACAACATTTTTGCAGTCAGATTGGACTTCTATGTTTGTCCATCCTGCACCTTGAGCCATTTCCAGCGCACCTCTGATTGCTAGTGTTTCCTCAGTGGCTGCTTCCCCTCTCCTCCTCTCAGTGATTCCCTTAGCTTTCACTATCTCCCCAAGCCAGTTCCTCGTGATAATCCCCAATCCTGTTCTGACCATTTGAGCTGAAATTGCTGCATCCGTATTGATCCTCATTATTCCTTCCTTAGGTGGCTCCCACCTTTGCTGAATCCGTCCTTCCATTTCCAGGGGTGCATTTGCTCGTGTGTCTGACTCATTCGCTGCATCATACTCGATCCATTCCTGTTGAGCTTTGTCTACTATCATCTTTGCATCCACATTCTCAGTCTGGAATGTCATTTTGTTTCTAGCTTTCCAAAGTTGCCATAAGATGTTAACCGTGAGCCTGATTTTGTCTACCCCTTGTGTTTCCCTTGTGTTTCCCAAGAAATATATTTAGATAGGTGATATAATAGATAGATTTTATATTTTATCAAAAATGTAATTAGTTAAATAAATATAATAGATAGGTTTATTATTTTTAAAATTCCCCTTTTAGATTGTAGTTAGGGCTTCTAATGTAATAGTCAGATTTTATTTGTTTGCATGTTTGTGAGTTTATTTGCTTGCATGTCTACTTGCTTTTTTTTTTTTTTTTTCAGGTTTTGCATTTAAATATCATGTCTATGTACTATGTGATCTATGTACTCTCTGTGTTTATCTGTTTTAATTATTTTATATGTTTTATTTAGGGCAAAAAACCTCAGCGGCCATTAAACTATTGGCGGGATCATGTTTTGACCATCGAACTATTTTTTGTCAATAATTGGCTACTAAACAACTTAATCAATAAATTCGTCACCATTTAATCGATAATTGCTTTTAATCTATGAAATTAGCTATACACGTGGCAAAATGGAAGGACAATTTTGTCCAACAACTATGCGACCTTCTTCTCCCCTGAATTTCTTTCCTCAAACAAGCTCTGGACTTCATACATGAAATTGGTTGGCTCCTCCGTAGAAGTAAGTTGAAGTTTAGATTGGGTCTTCAAGATCCCAACTTGGATACATTTCCTTTCCAGCGTTTCAGATGGCTTATAGAGTTCTCAGTCGAACATGACTGGTGTGCAGTGGTCAAGATGCTTTTGAATGTTCTGGTCAACAAACTCATGGGTGAAGAAAAGTGTGAGAACCCCGAAAAAAAAAAAAATATATATATATATATATATATACATATATTCATGCATATTTCACTTGCACTTTGACTCTTTAATAAATTCTAGCATTATTTCTACTTGTCTTTAAATAAGTGCGTAAAAACAATTTTTATGTGATAAATAATATAATTGTGCCAAAATATTAAAGTACTTGGTTTTGTCAAGATAAATTAATATTTCTTGATGTAGATTATTTATTACCTTAATATTAATTCCTTGAATGTCGATAGTTAATTTTAAGTGTTAATAATGTTAAGTGCCATCGGAAGCCTTAGAATTAAGATGGAATCGATTCTAGGTCAAAACCCTTTATACTTACACTTAGGACGTTAAAATCTCGATAATTGAATTTTTGCGAGGTTAGTATACTAGTAAGTGGTCAAATTTCATTTGGGGTAAATTTTCGGAATTAGATTACGAATGAGGACTTAAGTGAAAATTCGGACAAGATGTGAAAAGATTTAATTAGCCTTCTTCCATCTCGAATTAACCAGGCATGTATTATTTTCATTTTCGCCGTTAGAATTATTAAATACTAATTCATAGATTAATTAAACGTTTAAACTTAAAACGTATAAAACAAACTGTACGAACCAAATAAAAACATGGGGTATACCGTAACTGGTATGAATTAAATATATTTTAGTGCTAAGCTACTTGTTTTATTGATTTCCTAAAAATTAAATGTGTGAGAATTTATGAGATTAAGGAGATAGAAATAAGATTAGGAGTTAACAAGTGAGTTAAGGAAAAATTTCAGTATGGTAAAATAAATGATATAATGTTAAAGGACTAAACTAACCTTTCACTCTAGCAAATTCACCATGCGACCAGTGGACTATGGATTGAGTGGAAAGCTTAGGAATCATCAAACCACTAATTGAAGAAGCCTTGTGTTCCTACCTTGATATTAACGGCTGAGGGGAAATAAAAGAAAGAAAACAGAGAGCAAAGTTTCACTCCATCTTCATACCCAAAGCCGTGAGAAAGAATGAGAGAGAGAACTCTGCAATTTTTTCTTAGGCTGCAACAACCGAGAGAAAGGAAATGCTCTGCCATTTTGGACTTCAACCGAGAGCAAAACCAAGAGAGGAAACAAATAGGAGTCGGCTGTTCCATTTGATAGCAGAAACCGTGAGGAGCAAAAGAGAGAAACAGAGTGTGAAGCTTTCTTCCTCCTCCAACCACAAAACCCAATTTCGGACAATCCTTATAACTTCATCACCCTCGGCCGAATGAAAAACCTTCTCCATTTCAACACACAACCTCTCAAGCACTCAAACTCCTCCCAACCATGCACCATTCCCTCTGTTTCATCTCGTCTCAACCACAAGAACCCCCACCTCGTCATCATCGACGAGAGAGAGAGTGAGGGAGCCGCACCTTGCATCTGAGAGGAAAGAAAGAAACTCGCGAGCTTTTCGTTTCTGTTTCGGCCGCAAGTGAGGGAAGAAAGGGAAAGCCGTGCGTGAACTCCATCTGTTTCTTCGACCTCCACCAACTGAAAACCAGTTCATCAGCTCCAGCCTCAACACCATCACAGCCGCAACCACTGCAACCAGGAACACCACCTCCAGTCGCGTGAGAACCGAGAGAGGGAGAAAAGTTCAGCTCTGTCGCGTGGGTAAGCTTTACTGTGAGGTAATTCCTGAGCTAGAATAAGTTGATTAGTAATAAGATTGGCCATATATGGACATGCATGTTGAGCAGTGCGGTTGGATGATGAAACTGAATCATGAGAAAATCTGATTTGGAAGACATGGCTCGGCCGAGAGCTTGATTAGGAAACGCAACTTCTAATTTGCTTTATTGTGATGATCTGAGCTTGTAATTGTGATTAACCAACTAAAAACTAAGTGTTTAAGCCTTGCATGCAGCTCAATGGCTCGGTTAAGCAAGAAAAGGGATAATGAAACAGAAATCCGATGCATGCAACCTCATCCGAGGCTAGCTGGACCAATTTCTGGAATTATGGATGAATATTGT